ATTAAATGCTGTAAAGACCACAATAAAAATAATACAACAGATATAATATAAAAAGGAACTTATCTTAAGTTCTTCTTTTAGAACCTGGTTGGGGTATTGAAGTTGTATGTCATCAACATGTAGATGACCTCAGCTGGAAAAGTAGGCATATACTTCAGTGGCCTCAAAAAGATCAGCTAATTTTAAGATAATGTAACACTTAACTACAAAACTGACTACTAATAGTGCAAATGTGGAGTCTGTGATGGGTAGCTGACTGTCCCCTCCTGTGTTTGCTGCAGTGTGCCATTGTACATGGGAAACAGCAACTTTCAGTGCTTTCAGAAATTCTGCAAGAGCAACAACCTTGCACTGTGTCTGTTCTGAGAAAAAGGCACTTGGGAGCTTTTGCCCTGTATGGTGACAGTGACTGCTACATATTAGCTCTGACTTTAAACTCACTGGGTCAAGCCAGCTATGCTAGTGGTATTTTTCCTGTAAGCTTGTTATCCAGTTCCTTATGAGGATTCAGAAATACCTACACTTTTTCATCCAATTCAAGTACCTATTAGAATTATTAAGGTATGATGTAGTTTGTTGAAGGCAGGAGACAAGAAACTCTTGCCTCCATGAAAATTTTTAAAGAACTAAGCAGTGGAAAAATGAAGTGGCATCACTAGGGGGCAACAAAACATCACAAACACCTATGTTGTTAAAAACTAAGCAATGTCACACCCTCACTGAAAGGCATTTGTGTTATGACCTGAAGAACAGCTTGTGTAAGCAAGTGCTTTTGTGTATTTCCAACTGTGTTACATAGTAGATCTTGCTTCAGGGATGAGAGAGCTCAAAAAAAAAAAAAAAAGGTATATGCACACACACAAAACTTTTCATATCGTTTTGTGCTGCTTTATCTCTGTTCGGATACAGGAAAACAATAACAAGATCGGGCATCTGAGCATCAGTTTCATTTCTGAACAGCATGTATTTAACACTATGTTTAAGTATAACACATTCTGCTAAAGCCCATCCACTTTGTACAAATAAAGGTGCATAGTATAGAAGAATTTGAAGTTCACTGTCTTTGCCTCAATCCCTTTCAGTCTCGGCATGGCCAGCAAGCCAAAATGATGACAGGCATTCCAGAAGGCAGTGATGCTGCCCCAGTCCTCTGAAGCTATTAGGTTAGTTTTTAGCCCTTGTCTTCCATTTTCCTGATGTCTTGCTGGCACTAAGAATACTCCCAGTGTAAAACCAGTAATAGCTTGACACACTGCAGTGGAAACATAGGTTGTGGTAGTAACATGGCAGACGATGGACAGCGGAGGATGAAGTATTTGACCTGAAGTCACCGGTATGACTCAAGAAAGAGTCTGTCATTTTTTTACAACCTGTCTGTCATTTTTTTACAACATTTTTTTACAACCTGTGGGTTGTAAGCATTTTTCAAATCCCAAAACTTTCACTGTTAGGATTGTTATCCTTGCCTACCCTCTGCAGACAGCAGTCAAGACAGAGCTCTAAGCTAGGAGGTATTCTGGATTAGATAGCACATTCTCTTCTGGTTTTGCTTTTGGAAAAAATGGAGCTCTCACCAGAAAGAGGTCCACAGTGAGAGCTACCAGTTAAGAACCTGGAAGTGAAGGTTTTTCCTATGTTCACATGGTATCCAGTGTGCCTTTTCAAGCAGTGTCTGTTCATTCATCAGGTTCTAATGATGCCAACCCCTCACATAAAGCTTCCCTCGTTTGGTTTTTTTTTTTTTTTTTTCATTCCCTGGTCTCCTAATTTGTAGGTAGCAATTCTACACACTGTCAGAATGCTAAAATCTAATAATCTCAGCTTTGAGCTCTCCAGAGCCAAACTACCTTTGAGTATTCTAAGAATTTGTACAAGGCATTTTTTTATGGCATTTCTGGTTTAGTTTACTTTGGCTGTACTTTTGCATGTATCTGTTTAGTGATACATAGTGAGGCATAGACATAATGAAAAATGGAAGTGTAAGTCAAATTTTTTTTAATTGAAATGCCGTCTAAACTGTGGTCATGTCAAACTTCTTTATGGAAGTCGTTATTGATATGAGTGATCTGGAATACATTCAGTGGCACCAGTCTTATCTACTATCTTTCAGACCTTCCTGCTGGGCCTTCTCTGCCCCTTCAATCTGTGATGTTCTGGGGTTGTAATCCCTGAGTAAAGCTATCCTGGCTATAGGAGAAGAATCATATAAATGCACTTTGCACTTTCCTTTGACTGTAAAACCCAAGTAATTTCAAAATAGGCCAGCAGAAAGCAGCTTGTAAAGAGGGCTGGAATATTAGGCTTGTACTGGCCCTGCTGCATGCTAGTGTAATCTGTGAAAAACAAGCAGAATTTGGTAGCTAGCCTGCAGATGTATGTACTGTATGTGGTTGTTCCTCATGCTGATTCAATAATGTGTACAGATCCTACTGTTGCATAACTGGATAGAGTTTGACTCTGCAGGTTGACCTCAAAAGTCACGTGAAATGGTGACCTTCCGAATTGTAATCTTTGTATTGGCAATTGATTCATGTAGCACCTGCTGTAAATAAATATGGAGAGAGAACATAATGATAATGTCACATACTCCAAAGTTAGAAATTCCCTAAGTAAGGATTCTTGAGTTCTTCAGAATAGCAACAAAACTTAATAAAAGTAACCACAATTACATGATCTTTAAGGAGAAGCTAGGTCGGTGAGTTCTGTGATTGCAAGTTTTACTTTTTGAGAGATTTCTAGACTCCCATAGGGCCTTAGAAGAGTGCTTTTCAGTGACTCATTATCGATCTCACAGATTTCATCTTGCTGATCTCGAAAGGTACTTCTAAAAAGTAACAAAAAATGTTTTTTAGAATTGCAGGGGCTTTTTCCACTGTGGACCTATTGACAACTGTCTTAAGCTATCAGCAGGTTTCAGGGCAAGCCAGAGGTTAGTGTGATTGTCTGGGCCAGGTTATAGCTGAATGGAATTCTTTGATCCCGCTAAAGATTCAAAACAGTTTTGTTTCCATCTTCAAAGTCTGATTCCAGTTTCAGATGAAGTTTTTTATGTTATAGTTACAATACAAAGGAGTCCAGAGATCCTCATGGACAACTAAATTAGGTGGACTGCACATGAGAACTGGAGAGACATTAACAGGATAGAAAGCAAAAATACTAATCTTAAAATGAAATACTGTTTCCTTTGATATTTTCTTTGGGATATGTGTTCTTCATACACATTCTGGTATTTTTATTATCATCCTGTTTTATTATTATTTACCAAAGATTTCTTAATCTAACTTTTAATCAAAATAAAGGGTTTCATTCTCTTATATGTCCCCCAAACCAATTTGTGATTCTCAGCTTATTTGCCCATAAGAAGACAAAATGTGTTTTAAGACTGTAGCATTTTCTTGTTTTTCATGTCTGTGTGGACTGTTTCTTTCAGAATTACTTTATCATTTTGTGCATTAAATCTGAGTGACTTCAGTGAGATTTTTGTGGGAAAAGAAGGAATGATGCTAACACATTATGACACAAACTTTGAAAATTCTTTTTTGAATGTTCATTTTTAAAAAAAAATACATGTTTCTCATTAAAACCAAAAAAAAAACCCACTCAAAGTTTTGACCAGCTCGAGTCTCTAACTTATGAATAAGTTTTCATTGGACTGGTATATTCAGACCATTCAGCATCTGGTATGACTTAAAATAAAGCAGCTCCTCTGTAAATGCCTTATAGAGTGGAGAAAATGTGAAACTATCTCTGTTCATCCACATAGATGCACCTTAAGAAAAGAAAAATGAATATTTCATTTTTTTGAAATCTAATTGGTTTTGTTTCTGTTATAAATGTACAGACTGAGATTTCTTTAAATCATGATGTCATTTACATCTGGTTTGGGCTGTCTTACTTCTGATCCTTAAAGAGATTTATGGATAGCAATCGCAGATACAAATTCTTCACACGTGAGTCCCCCAAATATGTTTTTCGGTGGCTTAGTGTGCCACAAGTGACAGACTGACCATTTTCATTTAACCAACTTCTCCTGAGCTGGGTTGCTTCTTGCTTTATCTGAGGTAGGAGTTGGTAATTAGTAACTGCATTGTAGCCTCCCACCCCCAGCATTTAAACTGCCTCTCTACTTTGTGAGTGCTTCTAGTCCATTTCAGGACAGTTAATCCATTTGATTATTGACCCAGTTAACAGTCAGTAGACTCAGCTGACTACTGACTTTGCCCTGAAAAGTTCTACAGACACTGTTACAGTCGGGAACAACAGGCAGGAGATCTAAGAAGCTGCCAGAAGCACTTCTGTTTGTGTCAGAGATAGTTAACCTCTTAACTGACTGTGAAAAACTTCCAATCTGTTTCAGGTTGGTGATGAACAGATGAATGTAAATCTTCAATGAAAGTGATTTAACTCACACGTTTGTCTTTTCCCTGAAATAATTGCAATTAGTTGCAGCTACTAACTGTGTAAGTTACTGTTCTTCAGCTGTTACTTCTGTCTCTGTTTAATTCACTATCTGGAAAATTCTCTTCCTGTGCGTCCAGGACTAGGATTCTGGTTGTCTGTCTCTACATCCACAAGTTACAAGGTCTGTCTTACAACTAGAGTCCCCGTTCCTGTCTTCAGCCATGGTACTCTTAATGATGCTTAACTTTAGATTTAGCACAGGCTAGCATGATTTGTAAATAGCTGAAAGCAGAATAGCCTTTGTAGTACAGCTCCAGACACTGTGATGAATGCAGCCCCAATCTGGAGCGAAGAGCGTGAGTTTATTTAAAAAAAAACATACAAACAAAAACCAAAAGTAAACTACAACATATCTGTGTTAAATAGGCAGTTAAGATGGCATCCTCCTGAGCCATATAAAAGCTTGCGAAGTACAATGAATAGAATATCCTACAGACTGTCTCTCATCTTTATAAATGCATTTCTTTTTAGCTAGTGCTGTTTAGGAATCAGTTGCGCTAAATTGCAGGCAGAACTGAAAAAATTCAAACAGGAAGCGTCCCTGCTGCTGCTGCAGATCTCTGACTTCTACCCAGAGCGAACCCATGTGCTCTACAAAAAGCAAGAACAACGAGTAGCTGATTAATCCACAGGCAGGAGCCTGCTCTAGGAAGATCAGGTTGCAATCCTGCCTTTGTAGCTTTACACCACACCCCTTCAACATGAATTAGTAGGGGAGGATCATACTCGGCACTGATTGAGGAATTCTTTCTTCAAAAACGGTTGCTAGGAGTTTGGTGAGTACTTTGTAACAGACTTTCAGTTTTACATAAGAGATTTTTTTTTTTTCTTTAGCTGGCAGAAAGGAGTATCTACTGTTACGTTTTCTTTAGAATGTGGCAGAGGCAGTAGTCAGATGTTTAGATTCAAAGTCCAGTGATGAGTGCTGCAAAAAAGGAGTTTTTCCTCTGTAAATTTGAAACAGCAGGACAATGGATATACTTTTATGATTACTAATACAACTGATCTTTTGTTGTCAGAATGTCAGACTAAGGTATCTTGAGCTCCAAGACAGTTCTTTGAAAGAAAGCCATCCGAAAGGTGAATATGTTAATTTTGATCAATAGCTGAGTTTGAAAAAAAGCTCTTGCTTTTTAAACAATTTCTCCCATACAGTAGCTCCAAGGGAGGTTTGATTTAGAGTAGTCTGCCAGGCTATTTCAAATCCTTCTGAGGCATGTAACATTTGATGGACTTAATATTTTGAGAACTACAAGAACATTTTAGCAGAAACAAAATAACCCAATTTCTCTCACAATGTATATTGAAATTCTCAAGAAACTAAAACCACTTGAACAATGAGGAGGGTAGTGAATGAGGTTTGCAGTGCCAGTAAAACAAACACCCCACCCCCATCCTCCACCCCTGAAAACCCAGAGTATTATTGGTGAGTTTTGTAATATTTTACTTGGACAAATTGACATAAACTTCATTTTCAGTAACTGTGTAATGAAAAACAGTGACACTAGCCTGTATTTAAAGAAAAAAAAGTTAGCTAAAATTTAAATAAGTATGTTTTAGAAAATCTAAATAGAATTTAAATGAGGAAAAGGCATGTAACAATGGGAAAAGGGGAGTAGGGAGAACAATAAGAATTTGGATGGGGGAGAGTATGTGAAAGGTCAATGTGACTCAGTACTCTAGAAATTAGTCATCAAAGTACTTCATGGAAAACATGTAAAGATATAAACCTTCCTTCCTGAATGTCTTATGGACAGACGCAAAGGCAGGAAGTCCAGCTGTCAGTATAGATATGAACAGCAAAGGCATGCTGTAGGAATTGCTACTTGGGAAAAATTGTCAGCCTTTGTAATCTTCTGCTCATTCTTTAATTCTACAGGACAGAGTTTGTGGTTGTCTCTGAAGGCAGCAAGTATCTATATCCACAGTGAATTGATTTGGATTATTGTTTAAACTGAATTTGAGAATTGTAACCAAGTTTACTTATTATGTAATGCACGCAATTAAAGCAATATTAAGGAGGTAAAGATGATTAAAACATTATTTTCTGGCCTTTTCTCCTGTCAAATATGTCCTGCATGTGAAAGGGTTCATTAAAAAGTAGTCACATGGGCAATAGGTTGATAAATACATATCTTTAAAATTCTTATGCTGGAAAATCTCCACGTGATTTAAATTGACTTTCGCTAATCTTTATTTTTATCCTTGTGTTGTGCATTGCATAGTTTGCAATCTGGAGTTTTAACGCATTTCAACTGATGTAGTTAGGTCTTAAAGTACATTTAGCCTTTTAGTGCAGTGCTCACATCTACTAATATTGCTAATGAAAACATGTTTAGTTAATACTCTAAAGGCAGAATAACTGTAAGCTAAAGTTTTATGATCTTGATTCAGGACAGACAGAACAATTAATGGCATTGAATTTACCTATCCTGAATATCATTGGAGAGTTACTTTTGAAAGTCTAATGGTAAAAACTTACAAATTGTTGTTAACTATTTTCGGGTTTAGTGTCAGATCTAAAGGGCAATGAGGCAGAGTGTACCAAAAAGGAGGCAGAGTTTCTGTCAGAGAGGAAATTTTAAGAGATTGGGGAAAAGTGGCCCAAGGTATAGTGTGTCTAGGAAACAATGCAAGCTTCTTAATACGCTTTCGGGGACATATCCAGAGACTTTAGTGAGTTTGAAATCTAACCTCTGACTGGGGCCAGACCCCCCAGTCAGAGAAGGAGAGTTACTGGATTCCAGATCTAGCTTCAAGGACTGTTTATATGTTTCTCCAATACCAAGTGTGTAAACAGGAGCAGACACTAGCATTCAGATTGTCTGTTCTGCTGTGCAAGGGCACTGATACCCTTTATGCTGTTTGTCTGACTCTGTGTGTCTTTAATTACTTTTAGGGCAGAGAACACAGATTGCTCTCACGGATACATCAATGGGACTAGGATAGTTTCTGGAAACATGAACATTAAATTCCTTCAGGAAAAAAAGAGACATTGACACCATCTTTCACATTTGGGAAGCTGCTTTTGCACCTACATTTACTTTAAAAAGGTGATTCTGGCAACAACTCTCTTCTACATTTAAAAATAAAGCCATAGCTGCCTGAAGTGCTTTGTAACACTCATGAACTTGTTGGTGTGCATTCAGTATGGTCTGAGAATGTATACCGGGGGAGTCAGAGCATGTGTACAGGAACAAGAAAAGAAATTTTAAAATAAAAAAATAGAACATCAGGAGAGCTTAGGAGCCTCAAGAATTAAGTGGCTCTAATATCTCACAATTTTGGAGCAAACTGTTTAAAATCTGTCTAATTCCCGTACTTTCTATTGCTCCTTGTTTGGTCTGCATTCTGAACAGTCATATTTTCTCTCTAAGAACTAGGAGAAGCTGACAGTTCCTAAAGCAACCAGAACTGGACAGATGTTTTGGTAAGGATTGAAGATTGAAGATGGGATCTTGATATCTAAAGCTGTTCTTCACACTGTAACCAGGGAGAGCTGCCTTAAAAAACAGGGACAAACTACCAACTTCTGTGAGTTTCTCTTATGAAACTGTTTTTACTTTACAATAGGGACAGAATGCCTCTGGGGACAGAATGAAGCAAAACCATATGGGGAATTGTATCATTCCTTTCCTCTCATCATTTTTTCACAGCAAAGTAGACTTATTTTTAGTCCTTTTAATTTTCTCTCATTACTCTGTTGTTTGGTTTCCTTAATTATTTCCTGTTGCTGTTAATAGAGCTGTTCATTTCCCATCTTTAATATTGTTGCCATCTTCCCTGGTGTGTGCCATTCATAACTCAGAACACCTCTGAGGTTGATAACTGGTTAATTTGATATTTACTGTTTAGTGAAAAAGTGCAACTAGGCATTTGAACATACTGACCCAGGACATGATCTGGATGCGAGAAAGTTCAACCTTCTTCCAGAAAATAGAGCATTTCGAAAGAATGGATTTTAAAACAATTATATTGAAAATAGCAATTGCAGCAAGTAAATTAGAAATACAAGTATTATAGGAAGGAAATACTTAGCTGGTACAGTTTTTATGAACATCACAGAAAGGTCTGCAGAAGTGTATTAGCATTTTCTGTAAACATTTTCTACTTTGGCTGAGAAGCAATCTTTTCCCTTTATATTAGTACAATCTTTAACATAATGGGGTCCTGGGTGATGACGTATGTTTTCATCAATCAGAGAAAAGGTAGTACAGAAAGTTGAGGCTGAATTTTTCTGTGCTCTGATACTCATGCGATGAATCCTCTAGGTCCATAGATGCTGTCACTGCCACCAGAATAAGCAACACTATCTATACTATGGTGGGAGATGAAGGGAATGCGATCCTTTCTTTTCCATGGCAGTGTTATTTTATGATGGTTTTAAGTATTTGTAGGGTGATAATCTGAAGCAGTCTGAATCTGGGGTTATTCCCACTGACTACAGTTACAGCATTTCTGACCTGTGTGATTAACCAAAGTTCATACATCCATTGCAGTAAAAACTTATGTGGTGTCTCCAGCTGGGAGGATAGACAGGGTGAGCCAAACTTGCTTGACAAAGCAAGCAAATTTGTATATTGGTTCTTGGTATGTGTGCAAAATGTAATCTGTGTGATGATGCAGTTACAAAAGGTTAATAATAAGATATGCTAAAAATCAGTCATGAGAAATATCAGGGTGGCAGCCAGTTTTCTCATGTGCCTGCCTGTTATTTTTTTCAGTAACTGACAGCTTTATTTTAGTGAAATCAAGTAGCTGTGTTTCTGTAGTGTGTATAATGTGAAATTACGCACAACTGGGTTAATAACAAATACACGTCACTGAAATGACTCTCTCCATTAGAAAAGAAGGTTGTGGTAAGTTAATTGACCTCTAAATACATGACTATTCATCAATAAGTGCAACTGAGGTTTAAAAGTATGCACTATGCTTTTCCAGTGCAAACTGCTAGAAAAAAACAGGCTAGAGGCTTTATAATGCTAATGTTGGGACTGCCATGCTGTGTTCCTAAAACCATAACTAGCATTGCTGTTTGTCTATTTTGCTAGTGGCTTGTGTGCTCTTATTAGTAGCTTTTATTAGGATGCTGAAGGCATTCCCTGTTTGAAAATAGGGTTATATGACCTATATTTTTGCTACAAACAGGTAGTTTCTGTCCAAGTAGTACAGGTTTGAGTGTGGTGGGTTTGGTGTTTTGTTTTTTAAGATTTATGAAATTACGTAAACTAGTAATTTGGTTTAGTTCACATTTTAAAAATGTTTTGGTAGGAACAAAAGAATATTTCCTTTCCCTGTTGAAAGCTTCATCACAATGAAAACAGGCTGTATACGTAGAGATTTACCTCAGGTTGGGATATGACATGTCAGATAGGTGCAGTTGCCACATCTAAATAAATAACTGGCTTATTTCTTTATTTCTGTTTGAATCGGTCTTCTGTGAGGTGGAAACTGAAATTCAAATCATGTTCTCAGTATGTCCTTTATGATAAGCTCATAATGTAGGGTCCTGTGCCATGTGTTTTATTTTGGATTTTTTTCCCTATGGCTAGTAGAAGTAACTACAAAATCATTTGTCATTCTCCATAAAGGTATCACTTGTAGTTATATGACTTGATGTGGGCAAATTCTGTGTTCCTGCAAAAAGTGCAGCTATTTTTAAAAATCACTCTGAAATTATGAGTTTGTAATTCACTTGGGCTGTTGCATCAGGTGCTCTGCACTGCAGGATCAAGGAGTTAGGAAAATTACTTTCAAGCTACTTTTGCAAAGGCATACTCTTGGGATCTCTCTGCCTTCCAGAATAGATCCAGTTCCCAGCTCTTGAGTGATGGATACTGTGGCTCTGAGGCCCAGACCGAGCCAGGTGAGAAGGGGAACTCAATGGAGGATGAAATTAGGGTCTGGAGCTTTGTCACAGGAGAAGTTGAGTGGAGACATGATGGCAAAAGTATCTGGTTGAGCTGACTAGGAGAAGGGAATAAATAGGTCCTGGGTCCAAGTTGGGAAAATGGATAACAGTTTTAAAAAACAAGTGAAAGTTGGCAAAAGAAAGTGAAAAGGCAGGAGAGGTCTATAGTTATGTGAAATACAAAGGGTGTTCTTGTGGTAGGCTTGTTAATTCAGGGGGTTTTTTGTTTCAATTTCAAAACATATCAAGGGGTTTTTTTCAATTAGTTTATCAGCTGTGTTTGTAAAGCAGCATTTACAACCTTAGTGCAAACAGAAGCAAAGTGGGTTTGATTTTCTAAATTTTCACTTCTCAATTTTCACTTCACTTCCCAGTTTTCACTTGGGAATTCAAGAGGCTGGAATAGTGCAGTAGTAGCAAGTCCAAATTTATGTTAAATGATGAAAGGTAGGTAACCAACCAAAATCCTCTTTCATAACAAGAAGGAATTTTGAAGTTCTTGGAGGAATCTGATTGAGTTTGTGGTCTCAGGACTGATACAAATTGTTAGGGCTGCTACTTCACAGCACAGGAGGGAGATAATTTGGGGCCAGGGGGTCGGAATTTCCATAGCTCATGCTTTCAACCAGTAATGTTTGCATGCTGATGGTCTGCAGTAGACTGCCTCCCTTTTTATTAAGTTACTGTGGTGTTGCAAAGCTTTGCTCTGGTGGAAGTCAGTTTGAATGAGAGACCAGCACTGATTCTGGAACTTACTTATAAAACTGGGGGCATGCATCATCATTCTTTGTTCAGTTCACATCAGAGCAGAGGTTATAGAATTCTGGCTTACTTCATTCTTCATACTTACTCCAAAGTAAATGAGAAAACATGATGCTTCAAACAGCTGCAAAATAGCACATGTAATAAAATACTTTTTAGGGGAACTCACTGACTCTGCCAGCTGGGAGACAATGCTACAGGACCAGTCTAATTAAATCTCTGTCATACAGGTCCTGGTAGGTAGTACAAGATATCATAGGGCAAATATAGTGCTTCTGAAGTATAGTGAACTGAAAAAGGTCTACTTTTATATTGGAGGTGCTATAATCCTGTCTAATTAGTCTTTTTTTATCTTCAGTTTTGTGCTGTACTAAATTCAACCTCTGACTATGAACATCCTATCTCCTACTATTCATTCCTCTACTTACTTATATTCTTTGCCTTTTTTTTTTTTTTTTTTTTTTTTTTTGTGTGTGTGTGTGCTTCCATTTCCTGGGCTGTCAGTGTGAATGAGTCACTTTTACAGTCATTACAATGTCACTTTATGCCATTTTCTAAAGCTGTCTGTCTGGTTTTGGCTACTACTGGAAATGCTGGCTTTTATTTTGCCTTTTCCAGTTAGCTAGTTAGAGATGAATACCATGCTGAAGAAATGTTTGCATCTAAATATCCTGGTAGCTATAGAAATTGGTGTTGAAGAGACTGCTAAGTGTGCGTATATAAATACAAACACACACACAAAAAAGGGCTGACTCTAGAGGCTGCAAACTGCACAGAGAACACACAGAGTTTTATATTTGTCTGTCTTTAGCGAAAAAAAAAATCTTGAGGGCTTTCTCATATTTCTGTGTTTAGATGGCAGGATAAAGAAGGCCTGGTTATAAGACCAGGTAATAATTGTCTATTACTGGGAGCTTCCTTGATTGCTTGCAATCTGCTTTGTCTTCCTGTATTCCATCTTGAGGGAAGCTGATGGCTTTATTCACAAATGAAACCATTTAATTAAACCAGTAAATAAATCAGTGTCAATTACCACCCATAGACCTTTGATCCCCTTTATCAAGTAATTTAGATGTTGTCTATTATAGATATAAAAATGTCTCATTTAAAAGATAGTTTGGGAGCAGTAGAGTGCCAGTTCCTAAGAAAATGTCTTAGGAATTTATGAAAATTGCATTAATGACATTTTGATGTAGAGAAAAGCTGATATTAATGTTGGACTGATTCTTGGGTGTCCTAAATTAGAACCCTTCTGAAGTAAGGGACTATATTTACTCCCAGAGATTTTCAGAATTTGGCCTAAATAATAAAACCATTTAACATTAATTACTTAAACTCAAAACATTCCCTACCTTTCCCATGACTGACAGTCCTTCACAAATATGTGCATTAGATATTTTACTGAGACAAATGCCATAGATGAGGTATTTTGAATTGTTTTTTCCATATAAATACAATACAAAAATAAACAGAAGGCATTAAAAAAGGAAATACAATCAATACAATAAGAGGCTTACAGCTTTAAATTTCTGTTACTGGGCAGCTGAACATTAAATCAGAAAACTTGGACTTTTCTAGTGGTTTTGGCTTTTTAATTGAAAAAGCAGTGCCAAGTTCACTTTGAGCTTGGATTTCACTCTTCCTTTAGGAATTATAAAAAATAATTAAGCTGCAGAAGGATTTAAGCATTTCAGTACTAAAATCTTCACCCTCTTCATCCTATCTCCACCCATACCCAACACAACGTTCTAGGAATGTGTAACCTTGGGGGAAGATTAGCAAGAAGATCAAGGAGATTGTTTGGTCAGTAGACTTTGCAGTAAGGCAGATATGCAGTGATACAGCCTAAATTTTTCCTCTTGGGAAATTGCCCAATCATGGAAGCCCTACTTTTCACAAGATACACTTTTCAGGGAAATGTATGATTTGAGTGGAAGTATAGAAATATTATACCCTGGTAAGATTTTTGTCCTCTGTTCAAATGCACTAATTTATCCTCATAATCACACAGTGAAAATTACATACAGTATATCATGATAAACAAAATTCTATTTTAAAGAGACATCTTCAAATGAAAAATAGAAACTAATTGAGGACTTCCATCTGGTTGTTTCCTGTATTTTTTTTCTATTGGGAACAGATTTGGGGAATATTGGATGATTAAGTAAAAATGGATTTCTAAATTTTGCAATTTAAATCTATACTCTGCAGATTCCTGGAAGAAGGAACCAAGGCCTCAACTTGAGTGATCCAAAAGCAAATTTAAATAGAACTTTTCTGAACTTGTAAGTGTTTTCTCATCTCATGTTTGGAAAAACTCTGATATAGAAAATGAGACCCCAGGGGCAAACTTGGAATTAATCCATGGGCAACTGAGGTTGGGGATAATTTCTAACTTCCTTTATGAAGGGTCACAATTGTGCCAATGGTTACAAATTAAAACTTCTAAGGAAAACAATGTGCTTAGAAAATTACCCTTCCCCATGTAATTTCAAAAACTAAAATTGAAAGTGTATTTTGTAATTTTTCATTCACATGAATTCACAACAGCCAGGCAAAGTGTGAAAGTTTAGGATCTGTTATTACTGTCTAAGTATCAAATCTGAATATTTGATATTTCTGCTTTTATTCAGCCTAGATGATGTCAAACTATCCTTTATTTACATTATAATGCTAAGTACTTGTGAAGTTGTTTGAAATCTTTTACTTGATATTTCTCCCCATACAATTTTTCTTAGTTGTGGATTTATTTTAATTTTATTTAATGTCAAACTAACATTATAACTCAGATGTCTCTTAAATCACAAAGACAATCTTAGAGGACTTCAGATTGTCTTGTATGGAGTTATTTTGTTCCTCTTTTAAAGCATGACTGGACTTTTTATCAGGGGTGAATAAAAAGATTTGCTGTAACTATTTGTCTAACCTTTGGATAAAATAGTAAAATTCTTCCAAGGCATGTACCACAAAGCTTTGCATGGAAGAAAATCTGGTATTAGGCCAGATGCATCGTAAGAGGTACCCTGTTTCTGGCAATCATAGAATGGACTATGAAAGCTGAAAAGAAACATTGTTACATCTATTCACTTTGTGCATAAGTATAATCAATAGAATTCCATTTTAAGATATTTTCTTGGTTTATTTCAGATTTGTGTTGTACTCTTACATGGTATTTTTTTGATATGTTGAAAGCTGTGCTTATTACATAAGTAATTTATTTCTAGCATCTGAAGTCTAAGACACTATTTTTGCCAGGTAGTATGTAAAGAGATCTCTTTCTGTGGATCTCTGGCATTAGACTTCATCCGCTTTCACAGAGGCTGATCAAATTCAGGGCAAACTTCCTGAAGCTGTGACAGTAATGCAAAGGTTGGCCATTGCCCATTGGTCTGGAACAGTTACTTTGCTTTCAATTTAAGTTATAGTATGTATTGTACTCTGAAAAAAAATGGAGAGGTAATATCTGTTCTTTGATTGATTGGAAAACTTGAAAATTACCTGAATAATGACAAGAAATTATGAGAATATCCCAAAGAGATAGCACGCTAATGCAAATGTCAGGTGCTGTAACTGAAAAGTATTCAGTGGATAGCAATGAGCATTTCAGTAAAGACTCTTCTTTTCCTTTAATGGTGTAATATTTTAAAACATCAGTCATGAGATAACATTGGGATAACACTGGATAACAGCTGGGAGGAGGATGGTATTAGAAAATGGAAATAATTGACTAGCACATAATTACCACATATAAACAAGAGACTTCCAAACAGACTGACAAAAAAGTAAGGCAAATGAGAGCAGATGGGGTACGCAAGTAAATATAGACAGCAGCATTAATGAATGCAATTAAGTCTAAACATCTGGCATGTTAGAGTGAACTGACCAATCCATAGCTATGTTTTTTTTCCTCTGTGTTTTACTGATACTGTAGGGATATCCTGCGGTCAGCCAAGTGGCCCATACGAAATTCCTCCGGTAAAGAGGTTGGGGAGAAAATATTTATGGATTACTCACTCTGAATGGAGCAAAGACATCACTAGAAATTTGTTGCTGGGGACAGGGGAAAAATAATGTTTTATTGGATTAAGTTTTAATATGTAAAATAGTATAGGAAAGTAAAACTGGAGTTCTAGTTAGAAATATGAATAGGGACACTACTTCTATTTCTTTGAAAAATACCTGAAAATGAGCAATTGTAGCTCTTGCGTGTTTTCTCAGTTTACATGTTTCAGAATTTGTAACAAGTCGGTTTCTATTTCAAGAGGAGTTATTACATCTCTAGTAGAAAGCAACAATTTCTGAATTTGTTCATAGAAGTAAAAAATAATATTTGAGGAAAATTTGTTTAAAAATCATGATTAATAGCACAAAATGAGATCTGAATTATTTTGCCAAATGTTTTGCCAACCTTTATCTGGATAAAGGGTTTTATATGTCAATGTAGAAATTAAGTTTAAAAATTTAGCTTATACAGAATGAAAGATGAATGCATTCTTGTATTTATTTTGGCACGAAAACATTATGATGAAAAAATTAATGCTGTCATATTTTCCGGCTAAAATAGAAATTCCTTTGATCCCAAAATTCTGTTCCTTTACAAAAATAAAATTAAAAAAAAAATAATGAAGACATCTATCAGTGTTTTTTCACTACAATACATACTGAAACCTTCTAAAGGGAATTGTCAATTAAAAAAATTATCCAAGTAATTAGTGCTACTCATGTTCTGGTCTGTAATTTGACCAAGACTTATTTTTAAAAACACATTTCTTTTTTACTACACATGCTGCAAGTTAGGACAGCACTGAGTATGCAGAAACGAAAAATTGGTAAATTGCCAAAAGGGAAATCAAAATTCTGGCTCTGATTTGGTGTTGAAGATGTAACTGCAGCCACTCTGGCTCAGACTGGCTGTGGCAAATTGGTTAATCTCTCTTAGTGCGAATTTCGCCTTTCTGAGACATGGTTGCTTGCTAGTGTTTTCCTAGATGCCATAGCTATGATTTACTTCTAACTTCATAGACATACATCACTCAGAGAAAAGTTTAATCTGTTAAAGAGGACTTCTATTAACACCACCTATCACTTCAGCATCATCTCTTTAGCCTTCCTACTATAAAGCTGTATCCCAAGCACAGTGATGGGTCATCTCATCTCCTCCCATAGGCCCTCCTGCCCTCACTGTTTTAGGTGATGCCGACATGCTATCTTCACAGGCATGTAAACAAAAACACTAAAAACAACAACAGTGCCTGAAGGCTAGGAACTTCCTAGTCCTTAGATCTTCAATTTCTATTAAGTTAATATTAATTAGCCAAAGTTTAGTATCATACTTTAAGAGAAGAGGATATATATAGGGAATCTATGTGTTAGTAGCTAAAGGATATATTGAGCCTGTTCTCTAATTAGAACTTAGAGATCCTTAAGGAACTTCTAGTTAGATGGAAAATACGTATTTCTAAAAAAGTTAAAGCAAAAGTTTTCCAGAAGCACTCTCATATGTGCATGCATAACCTCTTCTTCGGTGACTTGAACATGCCAGCTGCCACGGAATAGAAGTATTTTCTTTATGTGAATGACTATGGTTGCACTGATCCTATGTGAAAAATAATAGCTCTGCACTTAAGTGAGGTATTCAATATTAAAGGGATCTACAAGATACAAAATATTTTTTAGAGTATTGAAGCCCATGTTGCAAAAATTTCACTGATGCCTGGGAAATGCAACTTACACCAAAGTCCAATAACTTGATAACTACAAATTGATGAAATACTTGTTAAAAATAGAATCCTATGTTTGTGGCAATGAATTTAGGGTCTGCAGGCAGAGTAAAACTTATTTGGAAGGATTGGGTATGCCAGCCAACTACACATAGTGTAAAACTAATGAGGACATTAAAAAGTACGAAGTGTTACATTTTATATCATTATGTACTCTGGGACATGATTTCAATTGTGGCTTAAAATAAAAACAATAGCAGTGCCTCTAATCTGTACTGGAGATGGGATAGGAGACTTGCAATCAGCTGAGCACAACTATAAATCTTGCCTTGTTTTTCATTGTGCTTACAATATAATTATACTAACATAACTGGTATTATTTCCAAAGCTCCCAGTTTGTATACCTACCCATATGACTATGCACTACCCTGCTAATGACTTTTGCAGAGTACTCAAGGAATTTGATTGAAGAGTATATTGTTATTTGTATGTTATACAGGAAAGATGAAAGGAAGAAAGAAAGGATGTTCCTTACCTTTAACCTTTATCTTGCTGTTCGTCTGTGTCACTGGGCACACAACTATTGACTTAGATGACGACAAAGAAGAGGGTGTTCTGGGTAAGAGGTTATGAAAATGATACATAAAACTATCTCAAATAACCCACAATGTTAAAACGCACTGTAGCTGTAATTCTGTACTTGAGAATTTTTCTGGAAAACTTTTGAAAGTGGAACTAAGCTAAAAGTACATTGGTTTCTAACAGGGAGATGCTTAGAATTTTGCATTAAGCTCTAGCAAAATTGCCTTCCATAAACGTTTCCATTTCCCATGCTTTTTGGAACTTCTAATCCTAATCAAACATGGTTTTAGATATCAAGATTATTCCTTGAAAGCTCTGCCTTAGGACCCATGGAAAAGTTCAGTATTTAGGGAAAAGAATATACAGCTGGTAAACTCAGGTTTTATCTCCCCACTCAGATGGAGCAGGAACATGATGACTAACATTGTAGGCTGATGTTACTCTGTCATGTGCACAGCTCTCTTGAGTCACAGTTAATTTGCAAAGTTTGGTCTAAAGCTGATGCAGTTACTGCCCTAGCTGTTTTTCTGGGCCTTGAAGAAACTCTTTGTGTAGCCCCAAGTGATTTGATATTGCTGGATAAACAAAAACTCACTAGTTAGAAAGAGATTTTTGTTAAGAAAAATGTCAGAAGTGTGACTGTTAGAACTGGGGAGGTTCTTGGATTCTTACCATTATAAGATCATTGTTTACTTTCACTGAAATTAAGTAAGGTGGATCAAACTTCTACACGGGATATCATTGTCATAGATATTTTAATTTCCTCCCAAACAATTTTGAGAAAGCAGATGAGGCAAAAATAAACTATTCTTCTTTCCTTTGAGAAAATGATTTACAGTTGTGATCTCTTTCTTAAGCTGCAGAGAACTATGCAGCAGATACTTCTCCCATTTGACAGGTCTGATATTGAAACCTAACTGGGAATGCATCTAAGGGGAACCTTTTTTTTATGTTGGCACTCTACTCAATCTTCCCATGTCTTTTCCAAATTCCATCAGATTATTTCTCTCTATCAGTCTTTTGCAGCAGTGTTCCTAGAGACAAAAATATTAATTGTGCATAATCATAGTTATAACACAAATGAAGCTAGTGTTTTAGGACCATGTCACAATCAGTCACTACAATTAAAGATATGCACAGTTCCACATTAACCATGTGGTTATCGTTATTGTAAGGTCAAGACTATTTCATACAGAATAAATTTCTTTCTCTTTGACCTGAAATACATAAATGATCTTCTTGTTCTCAGCTTTATAAAGATCCTTAGGCTAAGCTTGCAGTTCATGAAGTTCATTGTCTTGCTTGTTAAAATAACACACTTCATCACCAAAACAAGAAATCTGCTGGATTAATTTTTTCCTCTATTTATGTACTTTGTTTATAAAAGACAATAAGAAAATAATCTCAAGGAAATTAAATATTTTTTTTTTTTATTTGGCATTATTTTATCACCGATTAGTTTACAACCAATCATTTAAGATTATACAATGACTAGTTGATTTAGTGTGAGGAACAGTTCTGAACTTTTGGGCTTTTTTTTGGTTGGTTTTTTTTTTATCTATTAGTATTTAAATTACAGTAATAATTAAGGTTGAAAATAAAGTCCAACAGGATAGAAAGGATTCTCAATTTGTTTCTTCTGGCAAAAACTGTAATTTTTCCACCAATAAATAAGGATGATGATAAAAATAAAATATATAAAAATAACTATGCAAAAAATGTATAAATATATAAAAATATATAAAAATAACTATGCATATTGTTCAGTAATATTTTATGTGGTTGGGAGCACTTTAGTTGATGTTCCAAGGCCTGAAGATGACTCACAAGTTGAATGTGCTTTTTACTTGCATGTGAAAGTTTATCAAGAATAAATGTGACTTCTTAAAGAAAGGGTAGGAAACACATGGGTAGGAAGAGCACTGAAGAGTGTGCAGGTGGGAAGCTGTCATAGTGACAAAGATGGAGAGAGAACAAACAGCTATTTGTTAGTGACAAGGTGCTTAGTATTGATATCACTTATCAAAGAGAGACATTTACAAGAAAGCCTGGAAAGTTGAAAGCATATCTCTATAATTAAGGATAACCACAGAAAGTCGTAATAAGTTTGAGAACCCATAACCTAAGCAAACAAAACCAGAAAGTATTTTACATAAAAAGTCAGAAATATTCCTGACCAAGTTTTAATTCCCAATTTAATTCATACAGTTCTGTTCTGAAAAGCAACTGTTCAATAATACTGTTGTCTTTCATATCTATTGTGCTGTAGGTATAATACTGAAATCAGTTCAGTTTCTAATTAAAAGAATATGTTTTTAACAACTAGCCCTGCAGATTACCCTTAGGAGTCTGAAAGTCAAGTTAGAGTCTTGTATTATGGCTACAGCCAGGGGAAAAAGTATTGGTTTTAATTGTATTCATGTAAGAGGTTTAGAGACATTATTCACCACTTCTGGTTTTGTAATATTATATTGCTTACTAGTAAGGTGATGACAGTGCTTTGCACTAATCATATAAAGTCCACGTGCTCAGAGCTACAGCATGACCAACTGCAGATTATTAGAGCTCTCACAATGGAATTACTGCATGTTAGTTGGAAATAGCTGTTCGTGTGTTAAACAGCCATGTCTTGAGTTGCAAAAGTTGCCATGTGAATGACAATAAACGTGAGAATGGCTGTGCTGTGTAGGAACAGTCTTGGCCCGTACCCTGTTTCTGTCAGTTGCCAAAAGTAGGGAGACTGAAGGAATGGAGGAAGAAGGTAGCAACATAAAATATCTGTGCTAAATTCATGCTCATTGTGAGCCATTTCATCAACATTACTTTGCACTTACCCGAAACTATGAAGTGGAAAGATTGTTAAGACAGACCAGTGGACACTTGGTGCCTTCTGTTATGAAAACATATGTAGCTGATGTAATAAAATAATTAATTTAAGGGGGGGGGGGGGAAGGGGAGGAGGAGAGGTTTTGCTTTGCTTTATTTTATTTTTAGTATGTCAAATTGTCACATTTGTGTGACGTTGAGCTTAATGTATTTCTAGCAAAACAAACTCCATTTTCTTGGTCAAGGGTAGTACAGTCTTATAAATCTATAGGTTTTCTAAGTTTATTTGGACCAGATGCCTAAATTTGATGAGTAATAAGCATTCAAGAGGGCCGGATTCAATGTGGAGGATTAAACTCATTTTCTTTTTAAAAAGACAAATGCAACATGTTATACTTAAAGAGAGTCGATGCATTCATAAATATAAGGTGGAAAATAACTGTTGAAGTACCTGTATAACTAGGTTATATTTGCTGGAAAGTAAGTGGAAGTTGCAGAGCATTACAAAAATAACGCCATGATGTTTTAAAAAAAGGCAAGTAATTCTGTGATGTATTAAGAAAAAAAACAAAGGATAATTATTCCAGTCTATTTGGCAGCAGTAATGCCTCAGGTAGAGGATTATGTTCAGCTCTGGGCAGCACACTTTGACAGTAATCCAGACCCATAGGAAAAGATCCAAAGGAGAGTTGTAAGAGGGTTAGAAAACAAGGCTAGTAAAAAGGTTGGAAGAAGGGTGTTTATTAGTATAGAGATAATTAAAAGGAGACAAAAGTCTTCCAAAAGAAAGAAAGACTGGATGTTTTTACATTATTCTGTCTATGCACTGAAGGAAGTACAAAATTATTTAATAAGTCATAGTAATAAAGAATATTTGGGCTGTATATTACAAAAAAGGCCTGGCCTGCAAGAAGGGTAGTGAAATCCTGGAACTCGCTGCTTCAGGTTGCTGGGAATTTCACTTCACTGGAGTTTTTTAAGAACAATTTGGACATCTGTCAGAAAAGGTCTCAAGGTATTTATACCACTAGAAATACGCCAAAACTTGATTGAGAAACTCCATTAAAATTCCTTCCATCTTTAACCTCCCATGTTTCTATTGAAGAATATTCACTGACCTTCCTGACAGATACCTTCCCTAAATGTCATATCCTGTGCTTTTCACAGGGGACCTAATACGTAGTAGGAACAATTTGTTCCAGTGTTCCAAGAGCAGAGGAGGAGACCTTATACTATGAATTCATTTTCTCAAGGTATATTCCACATATGAAATAAGTACAGGCAGATTTGTATCAATGCCAAACACACTTTCTGCTGCTCTACTCTGAGAAGGAAAGCTGATTTTATATCACCTGTGTGACTTAAGTGTTCCCAGGTGTAAAATAATGTGGAAGAATTCTTTCATTGATCCCAGACACAAGAATTATTCAATTCCCATGAATCCCTTTGAGACTTTTTTTTCTTCAGAATCACTTTGTTATTGTTCAAGGTTGGAGGGTTTGGCCCCTGGGGTTTTCACAGGGTACAGATTTTAGTCAAAGTATGGTAACTTGTTAGCAGTCCTAAGAAAATAAATGTCTGATTGCCAAGAAGCATGACACAGCTAGTCATTATGTTTGCAGCAGATGTCAGTGCATCTGACAGTGGTAACAGTGTCACTGTGACTGCAGAGGAAAGGCCTTAGGGGGTAAGCAAAACAATGATTTACTTCTGTGGATTTGATGGGAAATAGGCTAGGAGTTGAGACCAGAAATTTCCTAAGATAAACTCTACTAAGTCATTTGTTCATCATCTTTGTGTAGTTTTGCAACTATGCTTGCATACTATTTCTGCCCACAACATTGGTGTGGCATAATGTAGCAAGCAAAATGAACTGACATAACCCCGTGTCTGAGATTCCAGTAGTTAGGAAACCTAGTAAGTTTTCATAACCTCTTCTAGACTGAACTGGGTCACTGACACTGGTCATGTAGGATATCTTGTTTCTTGTGTGCCAAGAAAATAACATGTTTATAAACCAGCTGCCAGGCCTCACCCCAACTGCATTTGAGTTATATCTGTTTCTGCAGAGTTCTGAATGTTTGATTTTACCATTTCAGGAGTTATTCCAGAAGTTACTGAAAACTTTGATGTTTTGAAGGCATTTTTTGCTATTACTGAGTAGGGGAATTCCAAAGTTTCATTTTGCAATGCAATATCCTCTCAACTTTTCAAGTTGAGCCTTCTTAAGTCCCTTCCAAAGGATTCCCAAGCCTGTTGGAGAACTTCAGGCCTTTGAGATCCAACTTGGAATCTTGTGACTTCTAAATCCTAATCTTTATGGACTTCAGGAAGACCCAGATAAGGAAACTGGCAAGAAACAAAATTCAGAAATCTATTCGGCAAGCTGAACTCTATAGGAGTTAAAATGTTTAACACCTGTTTAATGTTTCTTTTAATTCATCAACATTTCCTATTAGTCAGTCTTCAAATAATATTTTCATATCTATTTTCCAAATTTCAAAATCTGTAAATATAATTTCAGTAATGAAGAAACAGTCACAAACTATTTTAGGCACAGAATATTTAACGAAAATTTTGAAATTAGTCCTCTTAATCTGCATTTTAACACCAAATTTTCCATTTTTGGAAGATCTAATTGTGTGCTATAATTTTTGTGTTGATGGTAATTGTGCAATAAAGGTTGTTCATTTTTCAAGGATTTAATGTTATGAGTTAAAATATTTTAGTGCTGAAAATTGGGGTTTTTTTTCCTGTGGGTTTAGTAGTTATCAGTGGCTCAAATGGAATAAAATTAGTAAACTTCCATTGACCTCCATATTTATGAGCATTTATCTCAGCTGTGCATTTCATTTAAAGATTACATAAGGCCAATTTTATATGTTAAAATTAGATATCCACAGAGCAGCTAGGCAGTAGTTGTACCAATTTCCTTTCTTACCATGTCGTAAAGCCTGATTTTTGTGGATTTTTTTAATTAAAACTAGAAACTTAATCTAGTTAGTAGTGATCATGCAAACTCATGCCCTCTTCCCCCTGTCCTGTCCCATCCCCCCCACCCCACCCCGTTTCCTGGGCCACTGGAAAGAGCACTGATAGATACTTTTGTATACACATGTTAAGAGAAAACAATGTTCTGATTACCTCTGGGAGAATGAATGAAAAATTTCAGGTCTGTTCTTCTGGCTGCTATTGCAAGCACACAAGCTCTGTAAAGCTTTCAAAATCCTCTAGGATAAAATAGCTCTTTAGAAAAGCAAACCAGGAAAATATTTTAAACCATATATTGATAAGGGAACAGTATCATAAACTGGATCGTGAGTCAGAATTTCCTTATAGACATTGACAGTGTAAAACTTTGCTAGTGTTCTTCTTCACAATATATATGCCAATTTTTACAAAACATTCCCTGACCTAATAAAGTATATTGAAAAACATGGAAATTACACTGTTTGAAAAGATACAGTTTCTTTTCACCTGAGCTTTCTAGTTGTGTACTACTTAGCTCTTGAGAGCTCTAATGCAAGAACAGTGAGATCAAAGAAAATAAGGCAGTATGATGACCTTTCAGTTGTACTGGGTGGGTTTCTGTGCCAGTAAAGTGTCATCTGATGGGGGAATGGTGCCCTCTGCAGGGCTGTCTTGCTTAGTTCATCCCACGCTGCTTGCGATGAGGTGGCTTTGCGAGCTGCGTTCACTGTCAGAAGTGCGTGGAAGAGAGCACAAGGAACCCTTTCTCCCACCTCCCACCCCCCCTTTTTTTTTTAATGCAGATGTAGTAATTGTAATCTTTGGGAGCTACTAGGATTTTCTCAATGTGTTGGTTGTTTAGAATTGCTAGCCAGCTCCTGTGCGTAAGCCACTATCCATAGATATTTAGAGATTTATGATGAGGAGTTAAAGTTTATAGTATGAGCTGTTCTGGCTGAAAACTGAAACCACAGATTTGGTCTGATTGAATGGCATTTGTGTTCCAATGCAGATGATGACTTTCTTTTTGCATGTTCTTTTTAGCGTGTTCAGAGCTTTACAGCCAGATGTTATGCAATGCCTCTCTAGCAGAAGATGCAAGCAATCTCATTTTGAAGTTATGTTGTACAGTAAAACGAACTAACATAATAACAGTTATTCTACTTCTCCTCTGTATTGCAGGTGCTGCTTTGCCACCACTGAAACTGGGGCATTCAGTCTGTGCCATGAAAGCAGATGAAGGTCCATGCAAAGCAATCCACATGCGATACTTCTTCAATATTCAAAGCCGTGAGTGTGAAATATTTGAATATGGTGGATGCCATGGCAATGAGAACAACTTTCTAACACTGGAAGAATGCCAGAAGAAGTGTGTGGTAACAGGCCAGTACCCATTCTTTTATCCTCCTATCAGTTCTTCATTGGCATCTGTTACTTCTCATCCACAAACCATATGAATTTTGGAAGTAGAGGCCCTATTCAGTTCCTATTAATACAGTAATGTGATGCCTCTAATTATGTTCCCAATTATACTATGTTGTCGTCATCTGAATTATTTTACGTTGTGCAAGCAAATATTCAGGATTTTGAAAGATAAGTGTGCATTTTTTTAGACCTGTGGAATAGAGAGACCAACGCAAGAAAGCTTATTTTCTAGCTAGAGCCCTGTTTTGAATGAGTTCTTAAAGTGAAATTGATTTTGAGGCTGGGCTAAGATGGTGGGCAGCACAGATGTTCTTTATTGCTTTCAGAATATCTAACCCAGGTTTCTCCTTCACATGAAAAGCTGATAGAAGCTGTCCAAAATCTTGGACATCTACTATGATTCAACATAATTAGAACTACACTAGTAAATAATTCTCATTAAAAATGTCAGTTTGTTATAAAAGATCTGTTTTGTTGAAACCTCATCAATTAATTCTAGAAAGAGGAAAATGAGAACCAAAATATGATACACAGAAGAATATGCAGGAAGTGCCTTGTGAATGCTGGTTTTGCTGTTAAAAATGATCCTTGTAACTAACTAAGGCTTTCAGCTTGTGAAAGTAACCAACTCCTGTTCCTCACAGGAGTGTATGAAAGTTAGAAGATTCTTAAAATTCGAAGTTAATGCCAATGGTGCTAGAAATTTGGCAAGTTCATATTTTTAGAAACTGAAGGAATTCACATCTTATTGAGAGTTTCCTCTGGATACCTCATATGGATCTTGCTTTCATGGAACTTAAAAGGAATGTGGCTGGGTGTGTAAACAGGGAGTGATAGTGAGGGAGGTAATAGAAATAGAAAGAAAATTCCAGAATAGAGTGCTCCTCAAAGGTGTATGATAACCCTCAGCTAACATACCAAACATATGGGGGTTTTCCCAAGTGAATTTTCCCAAATATAGGATGTTCATTTATTTAGACTTTGAGGTAAGATAGAAGGATTCATTCTCAATAGAAGGAACTTTTCAGTCACATATGCCTTGCTCAGCAGCAAAATATGTCATTAAATGTTACTGAGCTCAAGACAGTGATGCTGGGCAATCCTGCAGTAGAGAACAGTCTACAGGTTATTCTGAGGATGGGCAACAAAATCAGATTAAAATTGTTAAACGCTCCTGCCTGTTAGAGATGTACCCTGGCAGCATCCTACTGCTATGCAGATCTCCATAGGTGTCACTTTGTTTGCCCTATTTTCATAATTTATTCTAGCCCTGGGCCTTTCCATAAAACTGGAAATTTGCTGATGTGCTATAGGCACCGAGTTGATTTGCGGGGTATAAATTTGTACCTTCTAGGATTAGCATAGATGGCTTTCAAGCACAGTGAGTTTATATATGTTACAAAAAATACTTCCAGAAATTTCAGATTAGAAAATTGATTTCAGAGGCTACTTCTGGGGTTTTCTGACCCAAACAGACTATATATATGACAAGCTGATTTACAGCATCGTGCTTTGTCTGTAATAAATGTAATTGTCTCTGTTAGCCATCTCCGATCCCTTCCAGCATTCACATCTATGTAGTATTTAGATCAGGCCTTAAATGTGTTACTTTGTCTGTTTCACAACACATCTGTATTTCCTGATAAAAATGACTATGAATTGTGTCACTAAATTTATTCTAAACGTCAAAGTTAAGTATGCGTCTCCTATCCTCGTGTCAGAGTAATGGCTGGGGCTGATATGCACATTACTCTAAGTAATATTTTAATAGTGTTTGTTAGTTATAATGTTTCTAATTCTCAGAATATGCATTAACTGATCATGTCAATAAGCCAGGTACTGTAAATAAGGAATTTATTAGCTTCCCTTTTACTGACAGAAAAAGAAAGGCAGTAAGGTACAGAAAAATAAGTGAAGTCTATAGACTGTTTTACAATCGGAGCAGGGAGTACAGCGCAGGGTGTCTGGCATTTACTTGACTAGCAGGTATAAACACTCTGTATGAACTATATAGTCTTGATGCTATATTGCATACTCTTAATACCTATTTACACTTCCACAAGATTCATCAAGTTTTTTCAAATAGTGACAGGTGTTTAAAATGAAAGGAAAAATTGCTAACAAGTTTTTGCAGGTTCTGTTTCCTTATACGACTTTTCAGCTACCCATATAGGTAGCTGATGTTTCCTCTCAGGTGTAGGTAATGTAATAAAACAATTTGTTTGAATACAAACCAATGCAACAGCAATGCATGTCATTGTCCCGCATAGGCCTTGTGAACTTATCAAGTCTGTAATTCAGTTCTTTGACTCAGACTTTTCTCCATCTGTATCCAGTCCAGCCACAGCAAGGGAAAGAATAAGTGAGTATATACGTTTATTACAGATTTCTAGTATGACAATTTCCCATGGTGTTTATGATTTACACAGTAAAGCAGGGTTGCTTTCTTACCTACACAAATTGAGCCAGAATAGTGTGGCTGAGTGGAACAAGGCCTCAGTTGGACTGCAATTGGACTGCAGCAAAATTTAACCTGAAGTGTTGTACGTGAGCACAAAGTCTCACCAGTAAGAAAATATTGGAAGAACAGCTAACAGAGGAAAATGCATCTTTCCTAAAAAGTATCCGTGGTCTTAATCCCTTTGATCTTCCAGCAAGGAGATGGCATGCATTTTATTTACTCAATAAATATTAAGTCAAGGTATTATTTACTGTTCACACCTATTTTCTGATCTGCTGGCACCACCATGCCTTTCTGTTATTGTACCTGGCACTACAGACAATGCACTCAAAAGAAAGAAAAAAAACCCTAAAAAACTCAAAAAAGCAAACCCACACAAATATGAACCGTAAATTTTAGAATGAGAGTAGATTTCAGTTATTTTTCTAATCAGTTATGGTTTGCTTTCAAACAATTGCATGCTTATAAAATTTTCTTATCAGGATGGAAAAAACACTACAAAATTTCACTAACAACTTGTCAAAGTAAAAAAGTTCAGATTACTCCTGGCAGTTTTTCAGTGCATTTTACTCTGAAGAGTAATTTGAAACTTACCTTTTGATGGCTTCTAACAAGATCTACTAGTGAGCTTCAGAGACCAGATGTGCTCCAGGGAAGAAGTGGCAAGAATCAATCAGTCTCACTCTGTTTTCAGGAGTCATATATGGGTAAGCATAGCGCTATTAAAATATCTTGAAATGACATCCCAACGAGGAAAAATTGTATGGAAATCATAATTCTTTAGCTATTAAATAACATAACGTAGCATTTCAAGTAAAAAAAAAAAAAAAGATGACACAGAGAAAAGCATCTTCCTGAATACAAACATCTTGCCTTCAATGTAAACACATGCAAAGTCAATGAAACTGTGTCCTACTTGGATCTGAAATGGGTCTTAAGCCAACTCTTACTGAACTGGCTGAGAAGGGAAAGAACTTTTACATCAGCGATCCAGTTTCTTTTCATGCTGAAGTCTCAGATACTGCTAGAACTGCAGATTACTATTTTGGTGCTCATGTACCTGTATTTGTTTCTTTAGAAATCAGTTAGAATAAAAGCTGTTTACAATATTGTTCTTTCTCCTGACTAGACTATTTGTGTCTTGGAATCTTCATACCAGAGTGAAAAAACAGATACAAAAGTAAGATAGAATTCAAGTAATATGTTTTTAAATTGTCGTTAGAAACTTCTGCATAGGAGCAGATGACAGTTCTTGGCAGAAAATCAAATAAAGTGGAAATTCATTACAGAGGAATGGCAGATTTGGGATGTTCTTAACCAGTATACAAAACTAACATGAAAATTACGTTTTGCTCCTTTTCTACCTCTGACGTTTTGTTTTTACTTTTCTACAAATTGTCCTATCAAAAGTACTAGCAGTTCATCCTGTTCAGGAACTGAATCCTACAATATTTGAGGAGAGCAAATAGCCTTGTGCTGGTTATAGCACAGCTTATAATCAGTAACAGATTTCAGATTTCTTGTATCAAGGCCTAACTGATAATTCTGATACCTTGGTATCTGGGTCATTTTGTCCAACCAGAATATGCCAGTTAGTGCTTGTTAGTAGAGAAGGTAGGGATGTAGTGTTGAGGCATAAAGGCAGGGGTTGGTCTTGCTTCCAATTGGACTGAAGGTTGCCACCTACCAAACTGGGTGTGAAAGACTTACATTCAGTGTTTGGTAATCATCACTCCCATAAAGGTTTATGGCTAAAGAAACTGATGTCCTTCCTCTTCTTAACCCAGCCTGGGCAGATTTTTGAGTATTAATTAATATTACTTATTCTGTGTGGTTGTCCAGAAGATCTGTGTCTATCAGAATTGAATGATGACATTTTTGTGAGCATTCAAGACAGATTTACATTATTTTAAGGAGTTAAAAATTAATCAAATTGTGGCATTAATATTTTGGATAATAATTGTCTGTTTATCAGACAAATGACCTCTCTAGACTTAAAATTCTTCCTCTGTCATATGGCTCCATGAGCCATAAGATCGTATCATGGATTTCACTGCTTTTTTACCACGCACCACGTGCTCCTTCCCCCCATGGACAAACAGCATAAAAGTTTCTTTCTGTATTTTTTAAATTTTCAGCACAGAAATTGATGAAACTTGCTGCTGAACTCCACAGTTAATAGGTACATACAAGTTTAAAAAATGAATGTTGGCAATGTCATTGAAAGAGAACAACCTTCCTTAAAAGGCATTTTCATCGCTTCTACAGTGTTTTGTTTAGAAAATTGTGATTAATCTGTTTCTAGTTATCGCTCCACAAAGTTTAATTAATACAGTCTTTCAAGAAAAAAATTGAAAGTTATTTCTCTTCGATGAGCATTCAGTGTCAGAAAGACCTGGCATCTAAGATGTGAAGGTAGCTCTTCTTTTTCTGTCACCAGGCTGGCTTTTGGTACTTTACATCTGGTGTCTGGTTTTGGGTTCCAGCCGGACCCACAGCATTTTTGCCATGCTTGGAGCAGGATGATTTGCAGGACTGCAGCTGCCAGTACCTCATCCAAAATATGTGACTTCCTGGTAATTTGGAGTGTTTGTCCTAAATTCCCGTTTAAAGGCTAAGACAGAGGCATAAATTGAAAAAGGCAGGGTTGATAGATATAGAATTTGGAACTAAAAGTGTCCAAAAGTCATGATCAGGTGCCATGAGTGAAGATCTATAAAATTATTTCTTCAATCTAATGTTTCTATTTTGACTGATTCTGTTATTTTGGTTCTGACATATATGTTGGATCAATATCTGGAGCAGATCTTCTGGACCACATCCTGTACCAGCATATAATTGGCATAACTCCATAGAATAAAACCAAAAGTTATTTAAAATGAGAACTGGCTTAGTGTCCACATCTTAGTACTCAGCCCAAGTACCGTATTTGTTGTATGCAAAATAGTGATCCAAGACTCTTCAAATGTAACATCTGCTATGAGGAACTGGAGCAGTAAAGGCTCATTATTTCTGTATTCTCTGAATGAATAACAGCAGATAAAATGGTTTGGTGGCACAAACAGTATGCTGTTGACCATCAGCCATAAAATAAACTAGTAAGTTAACCCACTTTTGCCAACATAATTCAGAAAAAATATAATTCAGTAGGTTCTATTCATTAAAGCTGGCTCTGTCTGTGTAGTCAGGTAGCATATGGTTATATTCATCTTACTTAATGTTTCCAGTATTTATTACTGCAGGAAAATAACTATTTAGTAACTGTAGAATGCAGACTGAAAAGGCAGTATGAGTGATAGGAAAATGCTTAAAAATAAAGAAAATTCTGAGACATACTCAGAAAATTATCACTGTGAAGAACATGAAGGTCAAGATTACTAAAAATAAGCTAAAGAGAAGTTATACAACATATACAAATTCAGAAGAGAGAGTGTGAATAGTCAAAGTGTCTGATTTTCCGATATTAAGCACAAATACAAGAATAAACGAGCTAACAAGAGTGAATTGCCAGGTTCCTTAAATCAGAACAACTTCTTAAAATTTTTGAATGAATAAGCCATCAAAGACAGAAATGAGTAATTTCCAGAACTGACTGAAGTCAGTACAAGAGAGTTCAGAGCGCCCAACTACAGGTTGGCCGCTCCAGGACTCTCTTAAGACAGCATTCAGGTTCAAGATGGCTAGTTCTGACTCTAGTCTCCTAGAAATAAGCTGCATGTTTTTGTTTCATGTGCCCAATACTCATCAATTCAGGGAAGAAAAAAATTACTCTTAAGAGGAGTTTGCCTATATGCTCCATTGTTTACTGGGTATGAGTAGAATCATGAATGTCATTGCTAGCGCAAAGGTCCTAATTCTGAAGGCAGTGAATATATATCTTAGGCTACTTAAGCTTCTAACATGGGAAAATACCTGCTGATAAAAGGTTCTGGACATGACAGAATTCTAATGTCTATTATTTACTCAGCAGATCTACTCAGAAATACAGTTTGTTTACAAAGAAGAAGTTAACTCAGCTGTGGATTTGGCTTTTTGACTGAAACCAGAAGCAAAAAGACACTGTTGACATGGTAGAAAGATTAAAACATTCTAGGCCTGTACAAACTCACAATAAATTCTTCCTGTTCTGTGCCAGAAGAGTAGAGATCATATGCCAAAGCATGATTGCTGATTTTGGCCTGAAGGAAACAGCTGAGTGAAATTAGTGAAATGGCCTGATGTGAGTGTCCACGGTTTAGGTCATGGGTTTAAATGCTGAAGGCACAGCCTCCTACTAATAGGAAGCACTGGAAAGATGTTCAAACAAATATGTCACTCTAAAATGCATGTTATGTCTTTTAAATAATATTTTTTTAAGGATGCCAGATGCATTGTCCCAGAGTTGGAAGGAAAATGTATCATGACAGAATTTCTACCTGATAGATTTACTTTGAAAATATAACACAGGCCATGTTTCCAGAAGAAAAATAAAAAACTGTGGTATGATTATGGCACACAAGGGCAGTACAGCTAATGCTAAAAGCTTACTAGTTATCCTCAGCACTTCTTAAAATAGAAGCTACAGAAGGTATATCACTATATAAAGGATGGTTAGAAACGCTTGCTCTGGCATACGAGTGGAGAATAAACTGCTAATATTCCTTTCAATTTTGGACTTTGAAGAGATTGTTATAAAGGAGGTGGGGGGGAACTTTATTAAAAGTACAAGTTACAGAGAAGATAAGGGTACAGATGGCTCAAGTCTTTTCTGTTACTGCTTCCATAACAAGGAAGAGCACATTGGCAACTCTACTTTCCAGCAGAAATTGTTTTCAGTATGAGGTCTTGCTAGTAGGTACTTCCAAGCTGAGATAGGGCACAGTACTCCTGTATCCCCTACCCTCACCATTTCGGCAGAGCAACTGTCTTTCACACAGAAAGTCACAGAGGGGCTGCAGTGATGTCCTTTAAGTGTATGAGTTAGAAGCCTTCTGGGAAACATGGTATGAGAGACTAATGCATGTGATTTAAATTCACATTAAAATCTATATTTCCCTTTTAATTCCCTTTCATTTCATGTTTCAAAGAGGGCTAGAACGTGGGTTACACTGAGACTTTATGAGCAGGTCTCTGGAAAATGTGTATCCACTGGAGCAGGAAGAGCCATCAACAGTAGAAAGCAGTTTTAATATGCTTCTGCTACTGAACTGCTACCCTTGGCATGTACTATAGGGAACTGCTATCTTCTTAAGGGGGACTGAGGTAGCTAGGTAAGATGAACAAGGTCAGACAAACTCATTGCTTCATTATAGTATGTTTGTTTGCCTGACAGAGCAAAATGCAAAATAAAATTGCATTTGCTTTCCAGCAGGCACCTTCAACCAAAGCATTAGCTGTACCACTCTATCCCTTCTCTCAGATGCAAGAGGCCAGTAGGCAAAGGAGAGTTTTAGAGAAACTAGCATTTTATAATGTCATTTAAAAAAGCACAAGTACAAAACAAGAATTATGAAGCAATGTAATTAAGATTACTTCGGTGAAGTCCAGAAGCTATTATTTCAGGTGTTTTGCAAAATATCTACATAATAGAAAATACATAAGCTGTCCTTGGCCACTTTTCTCTCTTCCAACTGCCGAAAAATTTTCAGCCTTTAGTGCACGTTGGTTGCGCCAGTTTCCTCTTGGCCTCCTTTGTAATTTTATGGTTAGGCAGTCTCCTAGAGGGGAAGAAGGTTTGTTTTCAATTGCTGAAAAGGAATGTGGGGTTGAATTCAGATATCCAGCCTCTTAAGTACAATAAAACCCAGGCTCTTCCATTAAAAATTACAATAGCAACTTCATCACTGCTGATCAGGCACTAGAAGAACAGTGTAAACAAATTTGTCATCTATACCACCCTAAAGATAGTAGGAGATGCTTAGTTGAACGGGCTTTAATATCATAAACAGCATAATGAACACTTTACTTGGACACTACATAGGATAGCAAAGGGAATTAGTAAGAGAGAGGTATTTATTGCTAACTAGATCAGCTCTGAAGTGATTAGCAGTATCAGTAGCTACAGCAGTTGGGTTAAGTCTGCTAATTACTCCTCTTTTGAGGAGTGAGACTACATAATACAGGATCCTGGTTCCAGTAACATGAAGAGAAATTTCTCTGTTCAGTTCAATATTGGCATAATTTGATTCCAGTACTTTCCATATCCTCAAGTTTCCAGTATAGCATGTCTTCTCATACCAAGGAAATGATACTTCAGTCTTCCAGCACAAACTTTTGTGCTCCTTCTCTAATAAAGAGAAGTAAGAAGGGGAAGTGATGCTTTATTCTTCCTCCACAGTGCTCATAGCCACTGCTAAGCACCCTGGCATCCAGGTGAGACTTAACATGTCTGCTTTTACTAAATACTTTTCATTTATATTGCAGAATTACCTCAGAAGATGATGTCACAAAAAAGTAAGGAAGGTAATTATGTTTACATAGTAATCTAAGACTCTTATACAATGGTAAAGGATTTAGTTTCTTTTGATAAATTCTTTCTATATTGTTCCAAGCTATCTCCTAATAAAAACAAGAATGTCAGACTAAAGTGAGTTCTTACTCCCAATCTTCTTCTATATTCATCAAAGACTTTGAGGACATCTGTGGTCACTGAAGATAGTAGCTGCAGTCTCTTCTGCCCAAGATAAACACATCACGAGATTTTTGTTCTCTTTCTTCAGTAAAGAGAAAAGAAGGACTCTACAGGATTCAGGCATTATATAATTAGCCATGATGTGGAATTCTTATTGTGTCTTTTGAGAATAAACTCAATGCTTCCTCCACTGTTAGCAAAAATAGGAAAAAATAAATCTGAAACAGGAATTTTCAAGCTTTGCCTGGGTAGGAGCTAGCAGAGAATAGGGGACATCACCTATCTACTCATTACACAAGGGGGCAAATTTCCCAATCCTGAAAGGGCAGACTGTTTACAGAAATTTAAATGACTGATGCCCAGACTTCCTAAATAGCCAATGCTTAAGCACTAAGAATCACTTGTCTGAAACACTGCTGGTCTATGGAGGTAACCTACATTCCTAACAAGGATATTTAAGTTTGACACTTACAATACAGTTTGTGAAGACTTATTCCACCCCACCCTCTCTTTCCATATTAGAGATTTATCTGAGTTGGGCCCAATGCTGGTAGCAGAGTTCCCTGAATACAGACTTGAGTAAATGTCTTCATAAGTCAGCTCCTCCTTCTCTGCTTACCCTCCTTCCCTTAATCCCTTCTTCCACTTGCTTCCACTTCAATTGGTGTGCATTTAACTCTTCACAGAAATACCAATATTTGCACATAAATTTTGAAATAGACTTAATTAAATCATTTATCTTTGCAGAATGGTATTCTGGAATATTTTCATACTGAGATGATGGATTTCTTTTCCTGTTGTTACTGTCTTTTCTATTCTTAATGCATAAAAAAAAAAAATATGTGATTCTATGCTATGGAAATTACTGAAGTTGATTTTCCACAGATGCTGCAGGCGTTTGGCACTACTTCCTTTAAGGTCTGACCCTAGTTCCCTGCTTTTAATGACAAAACAGAACATATCCTGTTAAATTCAGCTCGTGGTTATCATCAACATCATTACATGTTTACTATTGTTTCCAGTAATGTAGTCTTGAATATTGAGTCTCTGGAGAAAGACATTGCATTTAGAAGTATAAAACCAGTTTATATAGTTAGGATTATATTGTCTTCATGACCTCTCTCTTCAAAAGCTGGTGAGGGGTCTGGAGCACAAGTCTTATGAGGAGTGGCTGAGGGAACTGGGGTTTTTTAGCCTGGAGAAGAGGAGGCTGAGGGGAGACCTGATCGCCCTCTACAACTACCTGAAAGGAGGCTGTAGTGAGGTGGGGGTCGGCCTCTTCTCCCTGGTAACAGATGATAGGACGAGGGGGAATGGTTTGAAGCTGCGCCAGGGCAGGTTTAGGCTAGACATTAGGAAAAACTTCTTCCCCAAAAGGGTTGTCAGGCTCTGGAACGGGCTGCCCAGGGAGGTGGTAGAGTCCTCATTGCTGGAGGTATTTAAAAGAAGGATAGATGAGGTGCTTAGGGACATGGTTTAGTGGTGGGATGGCAGGGTTAGGTTAAAGGTTGGACTCAATGATCTTCAAGATCTTTTCCAACCAAAGTGATTCTATGATTCTGTGATTCTATATTTCATTATTGTTTCCATTATTTTCTTTTAAGAATCTAATTTTGAGAAAAAAAATAATATGGTGAGAAATTGACATTTGGGGATTATTGTATGGCTACGTGTTTTGCTTCTCTGCCATGATATCATGCCTTGATATTCAATCAGATTACACAGTATTCATTTGTTAACTTTTTCTTGGTTTATATTGCAGTTACTGATTGCAAACTAGAAACTGAGACTGAAAAATGATAGTTAGAATAGTTGCTCTGTCTCCCAGTTTCCTGTATCCTTTTATAGCAGTAGACTGTCACAGACAAAATGCATTGTTAGATTTTTTCTGTTCTTTTAAAAAAATAAAATCCTTTTTCCTTCTATTTTAACATTGCTTTCTGTATAATTCACACTAACATGGACTAAAACGACTACATAAATGAAAAGAATGTGTACTTAGATTCAAATGATCCAGATGAGATTCAAGTCTTGTTTTAATTCAGAGTGAAAACTAATTTTCTTCTTGGAGCTTCAATGTAGGAGGACACTTAAAAGAATCATTAGCCGTCATTTTCCAAGGTACAATTTACTGGCTACTTGAAAAGAGGGGGGGAAAAAAAGCAATAAAAATGCCCCTATAATGCTCCAGCATAATATTGCAGTGTTATATATAGAAGAAAAGCAGTACAATAAAGCAGCAGTATTTTACAGTTGGTCTTTACTTACAGGTTTATTTTTTAAACTTCCTCTGGTTCTATTGTTGTCTTGGAATGTGTGTTGATTTTTTTTCTTCTTCCACCCTGTTCATCATTTATCATTTTTCGTAGAAAAGCCCAACTTCTGCTTTCATGAGAAAGACCCTGGAATCTGCCGAGGCTATTTTTCCAGGTATTTCTACAACAAAGAGACAAAGATATGTGAAGTATTCAAGTATGGTGGGTGCCTAGGAAACCAGAACAACTTCAAGAATTTGGAAGAATGCCAAACTACCTGCCAAGGCAACTGTAAGTTGTTGTCCTTATTATTCTCAGTTTTATTCTTTTATAAACAATGTTGTGTTTTGAAGGTATCTTGCATGGTAAAAAAGGCAACTTAGGGTACCCTGAGGTGGCAATAATTTATATCTGAAATTAACATTAATTATATATGTTTTTACATAACAATACGAAAATGAAAAATATAAACTAAAAAACCTGATAGGTACTGTTAATTTTAATGAATATTACAGGACTCCTACTCCCACTTTTTTATTTCTCTCATGACAGTTCGTTGCCTGCATATTTGTTAATTCTACAATGTTCTGCAAAATATATATTAAACAGGTGTGTATAAGAAAGAACACTATTAATTTCCATAAGTCTGTATACTGTTTAATATATCTAAGCTGAAACACACAGTGTGTAATCTATAATTTGAAACAAAATGTGAGAAGCAATACAGACAGATGAAGTGGTTAAAGTAACATCAATTTCAACTGAAGAGGGGATTTGGTCCATAACAAGTACTGCTTCCTGGCCATACCCTGATATTACAGCATGACATTTCTCCATTAAACTTGCCATTAGGGGAAAAAAATTTGTAAACACACTTTCTAGGACAGAAATTTGGTTTGACTTATATTGTAAAAATATTGATACTTACTTTGAAGAAGGCAGAAAGTTTACAGTAATAGAGACAGGGAGTGAAGAAATAAATGGACCTATTCTGGTTACAGCCACAGAAGTCTTTTTCTGTAAGCTAAAATCTGCCAGCTGCTTGGCTTTATAGTATCATAAAGTGTTAATACGTATTTTTTTAGCCCATGCATCTGAATATATTCTTTTCAAACCAAGTCTTGTAATGAAAAGAGGTGCCAATCCAGGAATTTCTGGTTTTAATTCTTTCCTTATTGTGTGTTGCTAGCTTCCCAACAAAGAATTACAGGAAAACTATCCCTCACTTCTGAATGATTTGGCTGTGCAGCTTAGGCTACAAAACAGCCATTCAGACTCACCATAGTTCTCCATCTACTGCCTCATCTTACTAGTTCCTATGAATTGTTCTATATCATAATATAGTATCCTTCATAACTTCTCTCCCCTTCACAAAGTACTTCACTTTATTCATAGGACGAATACATTTTCCCACCCAGAGCCTCCAGACCCTTTTGTCTGGCTTGTCTCTAGTAGGCCTTTTTCCAGGACTGTTTCATAATCTGTCGTTTTGGCAAGGGGAACTTGAGTTTATTCATATTTAGAAAAGGAAAGACCCACTATGGTTCTTTTTTAAACATTTTTTAAAAGATATACATATAGAGCCATGTGCTTTTCCCCTACCTTTGTTGAAGCATTTCTTCCTGGGCTCTGATTCCACTTTCACTTTCTGGACTAAAAGTTGCAGAATACTTTTTCTTTTTTTTTTCCTGACTTTAATCTGAAATAACACCTCCATGTAAATTTGTATGAATACCCAAGAAGAAAGAGAGGATTAGGCGCCATTGCAATGGTTTAAGTAGGTCAAAGTTTTTACCTTAGTGATATTGAATCATTGACACCGGTTGGGTTTTGTATTTTTTCCTCATTGTTTTCCTTTCATTTATCTTTTAGCAAATTTATTGCCAACTGTTCCAGCTGAAGAGCATCCTAATACTGTGAACAGTAGTTCCCCAGAGGAAGAATCCAACCAGTTTCCTGGAATTTTTGGTAAGAATTTGCTTTTGCTGCTTATAGTTGTACTTTTTTAATGCAGACACTCCTTGGCTCGTCCACTCATTTTCCCATTTATTTGAAGATATGTATGTTAGTTGAAATACATAAGCACAGTGAGTTCAGTAACATTAGAACTAGCTTCAAAGCCATTTTGTTGTCAGTAATACATATTCTGAAAAAGGTTTACAATTGCAAAGGTTAGAAAGTCTGCTAGTAATATAAAAATAACCTTATCAAACCATGTTTGACTATAATCTTACATCAGTAAAATTAAAGAAGAAAAAGGAATCCATCCCAAAGTTGCCTCAGCACATCAGTGTCCTATGCCTTTGGGACTTAAAGAAATGCTGCCTTTTAGTGGTGTTAATACTGGCATGGAGAAGGCAAATGGGTACCAATCATAGCTTATTTTCAGAACTTGCTGTGTCTGGATAACCCATCACTTACTGTTGCACCCTTTTTTTTCCTTTTAGTTAATTTGCTGCCAACAGCTCCAAATGAGAAGTCCAACACTCTGAACAGTAGTTCCCCAAAGGAGGAGCGCAAACAGTTTCCCTTTTCTTATGGTAAGAATTCACTTTTGCAGTTCTTAGCTCTTAGTCTTTTATATGCACCTGGATTGCTTTTCCATTTCCACCTGTTTTCCAACGTATCTGAGACTAAGGAATGGGCTTTCATCTATGTCAAATGTTTTGACAAGCAGAGAAAGTCAAAGTAAAGAAATATATTGCTGCTTACAGGTCTTCCATAAGTACCAAAAAGTGGAAGACTGACTGTATCTTGTCCTCTTCTGAAAGTGTGTGCTTCTTGAAGGTGTGATAAATACAAAAATTTAAAGACCAAAAGCAGATTTCTTTCAGTCAAACTTAATATTTTTGTGGGGATTTAATTTGCAGCTGATTTAAAGTTCCTTTTACCAATTAAAAAAGGACCATATTTGAATTTTAGAATATGGCACAATATATTTATCATAATAAATTTTTTATTTTCACTGAGGCCACATTAAACTTAGTTCTTGGTTTGAGTATAAACAAAGTGAGTGTGAATTAATTTTGTGTCTGCTTGAAGGTATTTTTTTATTATGTACTACAATGCAGATGAGAATCTGGACCTTTACTGTAGAAGGATAGATTTTAACAGTTTCTACAGCTGAAGGCTGTCCACTACAGATTGCTGGTACTTGCTCACACTGTAAAGGGTGATTGAATTTGAGGCATGTCATTTTTATGATCCACAGTTATGCAAGAGGAAACAAGAAACAGTTGGAAAAAGCCTGAGCATTCTTGCCAAGTATTTCTGTTGCTTTTTTTTTGCATTTACACTTACTTGTACTTTTGGAATTGAGTGATGGCTTATAAATTCATTAAGGTGTTTGTGTTTAATATGATCTGTAAGAAATGGGCACGTAGGATAACATTCCTGTGCTCTTTACTTAGAATGGTATGTCTTAATAAAGCTTGAAAGTGTGTTGTATTCTGGGTTTTTTTGCCTGCACTGTGATCCACATGCACTGTTGGGTTGAGGTAAGTTTCTGTGACAGTTCGATTGTTTGTTTACCACATACAAAGTATCAATGCACTGTTATTAAAATGACTGAATATAAAACAGTAAAGCTTTTGGCAACTTTTTTCACTGAAAAATATTTGAATTATTTAAGGCCTGGTAATAAGTCTAGGGACATAAGAGTGTACACGTTCCCTGAAGGTTTTTACTCATAATATGAATCCTCAAGTCCCTAATCTAATCTATACAAGCAAAGGGGCATGATTCACTATGTTTTCTCAGAGGAAACTGAAGCGTTCTTGGCTGTGACAGCTATAGTGAATTTTCTGGTAGAGCAGATTTTGGGAGGGAGAGATGAGGTTAAGAGAAAGAGAAGACTCAAAAGTTGGTGGAAGAAAGGGCCGGGGAACAAGGGTGGATGGAGTCAGTGTAGCTGGATGGGTCAGGTAAGAAACATGGCCTTGGAAGGACCGGTGTGTTTCAGTGGAAAGTCTGAAGACCCCACAGGTTCTTTCCTACTATATAACCTCTGTCCTACTATATAGCCTGCCCCATGCAGCCACCTGCTGCCATTCTGTTTATCAGTCTGTACCTTTCAGGCTGCTGGGATGGGCTAAAACTTTGTGCTTTGTGCAATCCCATTACAGGGGGAGAGGAGGGCAGGGCCAAAACTGATAGCTGATTTCTCCAGAGAAATGTGGGGAACATAGCTTCTGTTCCTGCTATTACTAGAGGTAGAGGTGTAAACTGAAGTTGCAAGGTAGAGCCATCTCACACAAACATGCACTGTGACTCCCCATGGCCCCCAGTAAGGGACAAGAATCTGGCTGTGCACATATGAGGTCAGGATGGACAGTTTGGGATGGAGTGGCTGATGCCCATCTTCTCAAGCGCAGGCAAAGTAGCTGGTCTGCCACTGTAACATCTGTTTTGCATGTATATTGGCCTGGCTATATATTTTTTTTTAAATACATGCCCACCGTTAAAAAAAAAATTGCAAGAAATTGTCTCTTATAGAATACCTTGTCTCACAATTGAAATTATGAGTGCTGTACTCTGCATTTGATTTGTGAGATCTTAGTGGGATGCAGGATCAAAAGTCAGTTTTCAACTCAGCAAATATGGAATGGCACACAGAGGCAGTTCCTGTTATTACTTCTCAAAGTCAGGGCTATATCTTTTGCTGATATAAATTGACACAGTTCTATTCACAATAATGGATCTGCACCAATTTATACCTACAGAGTACTGTCGAGTGCAGGTGAATCATTATTTTTGTAATAGCTTGGCTACTTGAAGATTCTTTTATTTTCTCTTTGCTGCAACCAGAAATGAGATACTGAAGTCTGCATATATCAAAAGTCTGGCAATAAATCTGAAGTTTCATGAATGTCACACACATGTCTAGCGAAAGAGAATGCAGTGAGCATTGTTTCTCATTTCGAACTTCTTTTGTACTGTCATCAATTAATAGTTCATTGTCACACAACTCCAGCTAAGCCTAAGGGATAATGATTATTGTTGCAATGCAAGCCTGGGATTATTTTTGATAAATATGAGTCTATATCTGAATTTGCATGTTTTGGAGATTGTGAAATATGATCAAGTTACCTGTTCGCACCACAGAGGGGGTCGTCTGGGATTCAAGAAAATGCTGTATTGTGAGAAGTAAATCTTAAACCATACAAATTGTTTAGGTAGCAGTGAAGGGTAAGATACAATAGTCTTTTTATAGGTAAGAATAATAGCCTTTTTATCTACTGCTTATTTTATAGAATTAGTTTACCTATTTTTTTCAGAAACAAAATATCACATATTGCAGTTTTGGGTCTTATTCTCTCACCAAAATGAAATCAGTCCAAACATCTGCATCATCAAGAAAAAGAAGTAACAGAAAGATAAGATAACAGGAAGTTCTACACCGTATTTTGCTGTTGTAAAGCCTGAAACCCATTCGAGAAGCTCCTGCAGAGCTAGTGGTGGGAGTTCCACTTCCCAAGCTCCACTTGAGATGGGTTCCAAGGTCTAATTTCTTTCAAAAGTTTTTGATGGAATTGGCATGTTTCTAAGGAACAGAACTTTGCATTTCATTTTCCAGAAGAAAACTTTACACCTGGAAATGTTTGACTAACTCAGCTTGGAAGCTTTCACTTGTGCTTTGCCTGTATGAATTGTAAATTCTTTTTTCCCATACCCATTCATGACCTGATTTATGTTGCATATTTTTGGCAAATAATATACATAGCAAAGCCAAGTTTATGAGCTTGCTATTGGATATTTAAAACTTCTTAAAATCAGTTATTTTGGATAAACAGAATAGCATGAACACAAGGGTGAAACCAGAGTCTTAAGGCCTGTTGCTGTCAATGTAAATAACTGGTTGATTTCTGTGGAGATTGCATCAAAGGCCACAGGATGCACCATGTAGTTGCATTTATAAAAAAGTTAGAAAGCATTTAATGACATTTATTAATTTTTTATGTTTCTATGATCCACTTGATGTTAACATGTAATGAGTTATGTAATGTAGTGAGTAATGCTACTTGCACTGTGAAAAAAAAATTGCTAAAATGTAATCTAAATTGAGAAAAAAAGTAAGAGTTAAAACCAGCATTTCTATATCAAGTAGTCTCTCAGTGAAGTTGATGACTGTAATTCATAGACCTGTAATGACTAGATTAGGGGAAAATAATTCTGATAGCTGGACATGTATTGCTATATTTTTTTTACTGTTTTCAGTGTGTACCCCTTCCTCTCTGTGTAGTTTTGTGATTTGGGGAATTTACTTCTTTCTTTTTCTTTTTTCCTTCATAGAAAAAGCAGGGGATAAAATATTTCAACAACTCAGAAAAAAATGAGGTTGTAAAACCAAAACATTTGAGAGAAACTCAAGAACAGGCATAATATCTAAACTTACGTATATGATGTTACAGTATAGTGTTAGAAGCTGGGGCTGAACAGAGAAAACATACCTGGATCGAATGCTCCCAGTGACCGTGTTAACATATGGCTCACAGGCTTACAGATTGTCCTGCCAATAGAGATGTTGGGCTGAGCATGACGCAGTACATATTTTATGTTTACAGTAACTTGAAGCTAACAGGTCTTTTAGAGATCAATATATAAAAATAAATTCATTATTTTTATCATCCTCATGGCTGTTATATGGCAAAATTAAGAGGTTTTCTTCATGGGCTCGTTGCTTCTGTGAGTGTAAAGAATATGCAGATATTTCGAAGATGAACAGAAATAGCATTTGGTACCTGGGGCATTTATCTAGCAATGATCTAGACAAAGAACAACATAATTTTTAGAAAGAGTACAAGAGGGATTCTGAATAGCATTTGGATGCCACTCTGCCAGTTGCATTATGTGTACATAGGTAGTCCTTATTCACCAGTATCCACATCACTGGCTCTATGGCTCCTCTAAAGCTTGTAGTCATTGTGAGAACTCCTTCATGAGGGGACTCTGGAGTCTCTCTGGAGAATTCTACATATCAGATAAGTAACTTGCATTACAAAGTATATATTTAAATTCTGTTATGTAATTAACAAACTCACCCTGTTTGGCCCTTTCATCACTGGCAAGCCTTTCTGCTTTATTCTTTTTAGGTTCAGAAATCATCAGGTTAAAATAGGTAAGCATTTTTTTCAATGTTGCTGAAGATATGCTTTGAAAGCTAATGTCATCTCCAGCTAGAGATATATGAAATTAGTTCTAGGCACAAGAGTTCTCAGTTAGAGTGCTAACAGAAGCATTGCATTAATTAATTTAACTACCATCTTTATTATAAATAAAACAGTAAATTTAATATAAATTGTACCACATTGTGGTCTCTCACTCTAGATCCAGACGGAGCCTTTTCTTAGAATAATGTCACAGTTATAAAAATAAATTAAGTAGTGCTCATTTGTAACTTCAGGGAGGCCATCTGACCAGCTTCACATTTCCATTTATGCATTCAGATGTCAATTCTGCTGCTTCTTGAAGGAAAAGGGTGCTCCTTTGGGTCCCTCATAACTGATGATATAATGGCTCCCATTCTGTTTCTTGCATCCTGTGCAGCACTTGTGTCAGTTCTGATTTTGTATATGAGTCACTCCAGGGTGATAGATGATGGAGTTTCTCCAGGTTTGGGAATTCTGGCATGGATTTGCTTCTTGAACTTGTTCCAGTGCCCAGATACTTTGGATATGTCAGGTTCATCTTCCAGTGTTTCAGTTCTCATACTCCCGACACTTGGAAGAAACAAACCATCAGCCTGCTCCTTGGAATGGTAAAAACCTAACAGCAGCACTAAAGCACCACCACCTCAGTCACTTTGTGCACTTATTCTTCACATTCACTCCTTTGTTATTCTGCAAGTTACAAGCTATTTCCTGATAATTGCTCAGTGTTTTCCAATAGACCAACTTCTATTACTGCACTGGTTTTGGCTGGGACAGCGTTAATTTTCTTCACAGTAGCTAGGACAGGGCTATGTTTTGGGTTTGTGCTGAAAACAGTGTTGGAAATGCAGGGATGTTTTATTTACTGCTGAGCAGTCCTTACACAGAGTCAAGGCTTTTCCTACTCCTCACCCCACCCCACCAGCGAGGAGGCTGGGAGTGCACAAGGCGTTGGCAAGGGACACAGCCGGGACAGCTGACCCCAACTGACCCAAGGGATATTCCACACCATATGACATCATGCTCAGCATGGAAAGCTGAATGAAGAAGAAGGAAGGGGGAAGACGTTTGGAGTTACGGCGTTTTCTCTTCCCCAGTAACTGTTACGAATGATGGAGCCCTGCTTTCCTGGAGGTGGCTGAACATCTGCCCACCCATGGGAAGCAGTGAATGAATTCTTTGTTTTGCTTTGCTTGCGTGAGTGGCTTTTGCTTTACCTATTAAAACTGTCTTTATCTCAACCCACAAGTTTTCTCACTTTTGCCCTTCCGATTTTCTCCCCCATCCCACTGGAAAATTTACTGGTAAAAATGTAAAGTTCTGTGAGTTTCGAGTCTCCTATCAATATAACAGAAAACTGCTAACCTGCAATGTTTTCTCTAACCTTGTTTTTCTTGGTATTTCTAGAACCACCCCCTATCCCTTCTTTGTGCATGACCCCTATGGACAGAGGACTTTGTAGAGCCAGAGAGCTAAGATTTTTCTACAACTACTCAACGGGAATATGTCGCCCATTTAGCTACAGTGGCTGTGGCGGGAATGAAAATAATTTCACCTCCAGAAAGTCATGTTTGAGGATCTGCAAAAAAGGTATGGGATGTGATACTGCCATAGACTATCATGAGGTAAATATTATGCAGGCTGAAACATTCTTGCAACTTTTGGTAGTCAGTATTGGCCTGGTTAAATGTAATAGTTGAAAGCCTTAGAAAAGTGAAAACAGCAATCAGAAGAGAGAGAGAGCTAGAGAAAGAAAGATGGACAGGAAAATACAGTGTACAAGAACAGAAATAAGACAACTTGTTATTGCTTAGGCCTATGAAGATTTTAGGTAAGACAATGTCGTGGGGGTTTTTTAAGAATATTTCTTGGAAACAAGACTTGTCTCTTCTTTCTGATAATCTTGGATGTGTTAGTCATACTGTATCTAATCTTACTTTCTTCATTTTACCTTTAGGATTCAATAAAAATAAAGGTGAAAGAAGATTAATAAAAATCAAGAAGAAAAGAAAGAAACAGTCAGTAAAGGCTCGGGGCAAGGACATCATCCCTGAAAGAATACAACTTTGATCTTTATATAAATGTGAAGTAAACTACTATTCACCTGTGAATGAAAGCCTTTAGTGTACACCCTTTAAATATATTTACTGTATTGATTATTTTGATTACATATTATTAAGCTGCTTATATTTTTATTATGTATTCCTCATTCATGTTAATAAACATTACCTTTGACTTTGATAAAGGCTCTTAAATTGTAGTTTGATTGTATGTAGCTGCCAGAGCTGAAACAGGACAGAACAGACTGTGTGGGTGTATAACTCATAATGATTAAAAGCAGACAAGATTCAAATTTATTTCATTACCCCATTATTCTTTTTTTGAAATCTATTTTCATGCTGAAGAAAGCATAATGCTTGTCAAAGAGTAAGATTACTTGTCGCATGATTGTTTCAATTATAGATTACAAGATAGGTCTATTGCTATAAAGAGGAAATAGACACTGTTTTAATTGGATTTATTTTAGGTTATGCAAGCTAGATTTAACTCCATCAAAGTGCATACAATTACACTATTTTAAAATGAATGTGAGATCGGAATTAACCCACCAAAAACCATAAAGAGAGTGTTAAAGCTGTAAACGCGTGAAGCAATGTGACAGATACTTGCTAAGATTTAAAAATATATTTGCTGGGATCATTGATTTTTATCCTTGTTACTGAACTAGACTCACGGCTAGCAAGTTATACTTTCCGGAAATACGTATTAAAACCAGAACAAATTCCTTTCATAGAAATAAATACAGTTGCTTTAGAGATAACACTGTGCTTACGCTCCAGTTGACTTTGAGGTTTTTTTTCTGGTTGGGTTTTCATGGGTTTTTTAAGAGTGACATGAAACAGTGGTACAGTTCCTGCCCTTTTCCAGGGCACCTCTCTGATCTTGGGTAGATCTTTTACAGTGAGATTTTTTTAAAGGAAACTAAAAAATGAGATCATAAACTAGTTTTATGAGACCATAAACTAAAATGATGAACTTTCTAAATTAGAATGTTCTGAACGAGACAATAGATATGAAAGGTAGATAAGAAATAATAGATGCATTTGTTTGTACACAGACTGCCTTGTGATCCCTGTGTCGTTTCATGGCAGTATGTCTCCTTCAGGC